AGGAAGATGAGGGGGAGGAGGAGGAGGAGGAGGAGGAGGAGGAGGAGGAGGAGGAGGAGGAGGAGGATGAGGAGGACGAGGACGAGGACGAGGAAGAGGAGGCGGAGTATTACTAGTACGAGTAATACGGACAATACTATTAACACTAATAAGCATAATGGCACCATAAGTCATACTACTATGATAAACAATAACACTAATACTGATACTACCCATGCGAATCCTGTCACTACTGCGAAGAACACGCAGCCAACTACTAAGAATCAGACGATGAATAGTAACACTACTACTACGAACAATAATACGATATTATTACTCATAAGCAGAACACTAAGACTAACAGTCCTATTGATACGAACATTAGGAACACTAATAACAACACGATTAATACTACCAATGCGAATAACCGTGCTACTACGTCGGCTAATTGCACACGATCAATCTTGCTAATAACAATGCGGACGCGACTACCAGTATTACAACGGCTAATACTAATAATGCGAAGAAACATAATACCACGACGCATACAGATCATACTAGGACTACTATTCATGGTAATAATAAGAAGACTGGACCTACTGATAATGCAGAGAAGACTACTATGATGACTAATCATACTAATACTTGTAATACAAATGATAAGAACACTGCGAACAATATTACTAATACTGATGCCACAACGCAGAATAATACGATGCATACGACGACTCACACTTATATTTTGAAGAGAAAGAAGCATACTGACAAGATCAACCGTACTAGTAATAAGGAAATCCTACTAATAATCATAATGCTGATACTGATACCGATACTGATGCGACTGATAATACGACTTACAAGAATATACTACTGCAACTAATACTAGTCACAATACTCATCATACAAATATGAGAAGGAGGAGGAAGAGGAGGAGGCCGAAGGGGAGGCGGCGGCGGAGGCGGAGGAGGAGGAGGAGGACGAGGATGAGGAGGCGGCGGAGGAGGACGAGGAGGAGGAGGAAGTGGAGGAGGCGGAAGGGGAGGCGGAAGCGGAGGAGGAGGCGGAGGAGGAGGAGGAGGAGGACGATGAGTTGGAGGAATAAGCGTTGGAGGAAGAGGAGGAAAACGAGGCGGAGGAGGAGGAGGAAGACGAGGAGGGGGAGGAGGAGGAGGAACACGCAGAAGAAGAGGAAGAGGAGCAGGAGGAGGAGGAGGAAGAGGAGGAGGAGGAGGTTGAGGAGGATTTGGAGAGGAGGAACACATGAGAAGATGAGAAAAAGAGGATGAGGAGGAGAAGGAGGAATATGAGGAAGATGAGGAGGCGGGCTGGGAGGCGGAGGCGGAGGCGGAGGCGGAGGAGGAGTAGGAGGAGGAATATGAGGATGAGGAGGATGAGCAGGAAGGAGAGGAGGAGGCGGAAGGGGAGGCGGAGGCGGAGGAGGAGGCGGAGGCGGAGGAGACGGAGGACGGTCAGAGGACGAAGACGAATACTGTCAATACCAACATAGCTAATCCTACCACTACTACTGCTACTGTTTTTACTCCTACTCTTACTATTGCTACAACAACTGTTACTACTGCTACTGCTACGGAGACTACTGCGAATACTGATGCTAATACAAATACTGCTATCAATACCATTGGT